GCGCCGCGCCCGGCCCGGCACTGCGACCCTGGCACCGCGCGCCCGGCCCGGCTCCTGGCCCGGCACCATGCCCCCGGCCCCACACCGGCCCCAGACAAAGAGGCCCCGGCCGAGCCCTCCCGATTTTCCCGGACATGCCCGGCTTTGGGGGATTTCCCCCCGGACGGGGATTTGAGCCCCCAAAAGCCGGACATGTCCGGGAAAATCCGGACGTATGGTAACCCTACTAAAGCCAGTCCTAACCAGCTCTCCTAAAATAGGAGATTGCAACAATGTGCTGACTTAAGGATGGTGAATTGCCTTGCGTACTTTTGCTAATTTGGACTGATAATATAGTCAAAGGATAAAAGCTTTTAAAGTCAATGTATCAGTAGACACCATGAAAGTATATATCCGTCCTAGTGTAAAAAGCAAAGGTAACAATTGATATTACTTGAATATACTAACACTGGATATACAAGTGCCTGGACTAGTACCATAAAACAAACAATGTATTTCAAAAGACAAATATTGGAGGCTTTGAGGCTAAAAATAACCAAACTATTACTATCAAGGTGTGGGTATGTTGTATCACTATCTATACTCTAGCAAGTGTAAAGCTGTTACCATATGATGGCTGTTCAGTGGCCAACAAGAAATGCGTAAGTGGTCTCGGCTGAACTTGCAGTGTAGAAACATCCACGATTCACAGGTGCCAACATAATAATTCTCAATACCAGGCATCCTTGCTGGCAGACTTGGCATAGAGGCCCAGGATTAAATAGACAGGGGGATTAGTCAGGCATTGGCAGGGTAGTACAGAGTAGTTTGCCCTGCACTGGGGCGAGATGACTTGCTGTCCTTGCTGCTGCCAATACAGCAATTATCATAAACAACATATTAAGGTTTATAAAAATGGACTGTCAGTCCAGTGCTGGCACACCATATGCTGTCAAAGTTCAAACTCAGCTGCTCCAGTCAGCAGCCTACTAGATAATACTTAGTCCTGCCTTGAGTGCGGGGGACTGGACTAGATGACCTCTCGAGGTCCCTTCCAGTCCTATGATTCTATGATAGTGCTAAAGTTCTGTTAGCACTGAAATAGTTAATATTGATATTTAAACTGTCATCTTTGAGGTAATAGCCCACTGAGATGACTGAGGCCATTCAAACCTCTGCTGTTGTTTTTCTGCTGGTTGCAAAGACACTAAGTTCTTGTTTTCTACACAACCACTGCAGATAGTCTTTTTTTCTTTTTTTTTTTTTTAATTAAAAGCTTATTGTGGAGCCCAGCTCTGTGGTGAGAGATCGGATCTGCAGTAGAGTGTGGCCATAGAAAACATAGGAAGAGTTCCTTGTGTTATGCTGTAGCAACCTCTCTAAGTGTGTGCTAGATGGATTTTAAGGGGAGGGAAATAGGGAACATGGTGTGAAGTGGAAGGAAAACTGAAAATTTCATGGCTTTCTACTCTAACTGAAAGTGTGACCAGAATGGGGAAAACTGTAGTGTCATTCTAGAAGAGGCACACTTGAAATCTGACAGATTATAATCTGTTAATATAGATAAGCCTATTTTGTTTCACTTCTTGTTTGCGATAAGTTTTTTTTTTTTTTTTTCAATTTAAATTTCTGAGTTTCCTGAGCTTTACAATTCCCAGGCAAAAAAAGTGTCTGAATAAACAAATTCTGACTCTCAAGAAAGCATTTTGTTTCCTATTCTTGATTGCTGGGGTTTCCATTTCTCTTGATAAGCCACACCTCATTGTGTCTATTAAGCAATTTAAAAGGGCTGTCATAGCCAGCAGTATAATAGACCTTTTCATCAAACACTTTCCCATCCCGCTTCAAACTTTCTGCTAGTGTCAGTAGTTCTTCTTGGTTCTTTGTGGCACTGGAATATCCTCCAAAGGACCTGTCAATAATAATAAACAGCACGAGAACATGAAGAAATCTTATCACTGATAAATCTAAGCTTGTTCTCTATACTGCTCGTCTAAATCCAGCATGGGTCAGCAGTGATCTTTGAAACCATATAGTTCAACCCTTTCAGGGACTGTTCCCTACAGCCTGTTTTCTAGTACTTTGTCCAGTTCCGTTTGTTTCAAATGATGAAGCTTCTGCAACTTCCTTTAAGATAATTTCACAGTAACAGACTTTACCAATGGGAAAATGGGGTATCTTCAGGCCTGTATGAGAGCTGTTCTTCTTGGTGCAAAACTAGTAAAATGTATGACCACATGCCTTGCTTTGCACTTGTAAAGAGTGTTGTCTTGATGTCCTGAGAGTGCCACTGTGAAAAGCAAAATTCCAAGGAATGTGGTTTGAACACCCTGGATTAATGGTCAAGAACAGGGATGGATAGATGGGACACTTTACCCAGCACTCATTTATATTTTCTTTTTCAGGAGTTTGTAACTATGGAAAAATACTACCTGAAGCTTACATGGAAAATGAAGTTAGTTACTTTATGCTTGAAAGTTAACTTTGTCTAAGAACAACTTGTTTTGGTTTAGATTTGGAAGTGGGGAAATTCATCAATTAACATTTTGCTGTATACTTGAACATATATTCTTAACTGTTTTAAAAGTACAGTGTTTTTTCCAATCCCATGTCTTTCATGATGTTTTCATTAATATACAGTAAAATATAAAACATTTTAAAAAAATGCAAGATGATCTCCATCTAGGGATGTTCAACAAAATATTTTCAGGACATGTGACTTCTGTATACTAATTATACTTACTGGGCTCTTGTGAAAAAGGTATGAGGAAACAGAGATTTGGATTGAATTACAGGCTAGTACAGTGGTCCCCAAACTGTGGGGCATGTCATGGAGGAACGTTCGGGAGGGGGGCAGAGTGCAGGGGGGGCCCTGGGCCAGTCCCCATGTGGGGGTGGGGAGGAAGCGCCTCCCAGCTCTGCTTCAGCCCTTACCCCATTTGCAGCCTTAGCTCCCGGCTGCAGCTCCACATCTGGCCACAGATCCCACTGTGGCCCAGCAGGGGCTCTGCTCCTGGCCCCAGCCTCAGCTCTGCTCCCGGCCCCAGCCTCACTCCCAGCTGTGGTCCGCTCCCGGCCCCAGCCTTGACCCTAGCTGCAGCTCCATTCCTGGCCCTGCTCCCGGCCCCAGCCTCGGCTCCCTTATTCCTGTCTGTGCCCCACTCCCAGCCCCAGCTCCCGGGGAGTGGGGGTAGACAAGGGTATGGGGGGGCACGACCATGAAAAGTTTGGGGACCCCGTTGCTAGTATAAAGTAAATTATTCATTCAGTAAAGCATGTGCATGCACCATGTTATTCATCAACTGACTGCCACAAGGTGGCAGCCACAGTTTAGCTGAAGAATATCACATTGAGTTGCTGTATTTTTACAAAAAGTGTCAGGACTACCTCTTCTTTTGAGAACTAAAAACATTTTTGATCATGTATAAGCTGCCTTGTGCATACAGATTTATTATCTGTACGTTGCAGAATTGCAATAGTTAGTTAATACATACCTGACAAACACAATCATTTCTGGTCTGTTTTCAATTAAAATATCTGACTCTGATGGCTTAGGTGGATCAGCTTGATGATCAGATGGTATATAAAAAGAGACTGTAATAGTGGACTCGCAGAATGGGCCTGCACCAGGTTCCACATGGCATGTTACTGGAGCTGTCATCTCTATCTTCATCCCTATCAGAGGCAAATAAGCAACAGTTCACTGCTCTGTCACAAATCTCAGGTCAAATAATGTAGTGTGTCAAGAAAGAGAGCACATTGGTGGCTTTATCAAAGGTTGCCTTTGATTTATATTTAATAAAAGGTAGTTTTAATTCATGTGTGTTTCTTCTATTGTTGCATTGTATTTGGATTATCTTGTCTGCCTGTAACAATTCTTAAAGAAAATGCATAATGGCAAATTTCTGCACGTATGCAGCAGATCCCTTTGTTTCGATTGTTAACATACCACTACCACAGACCAAACCTCTTACGCCTTGTCTACACTTGCAGCAGCATGTAGGGTACATACAGCTAACTGCCGCATTCCCACTGTGAAAGGCTCTGGCAGAGGGAAGGCAGCAGTGAAAGGTTCCTGCACCTTTCTCCACTGCCTCCCTCTGCCAGATCCTTTCCCCACTGCTAGAGCCTTTCTCTGGGGCAGGGAAAAGCTCTGGCAGTGGCGAGGCAGCAGGACCTACACTGCTAAAAACAGCAGTGTATACAGGGGAGGCACTGCTTGGGTGTGCAGAGAACCATATAGGGTACATAGACTAAGGCTTTTGGTGCGTATATACTCACCTAAGCAGTGCCTCACCGTCTACACTGCTATTTAAACCTGACTGGGGGTTGTGCAATGTCTATACCTGCTGCTGTATGTCTATACTGCAGCTGGAAGCAAACCTCCGGCCCAGGCAAATACTTGAGCTACCATACCAGAAATAATTGTGTCGACGTTGTGGCTCTGGTGCAGGGTTGGGTCCCCCTAGGCTTGAGCTCAGTCCGTGTGACCACAGGAGCCACAATGTCCACACAACTATTTTTAGCAGGCTAGTGTCAGCCTCTCTATCCAGGCTGGGAAGCTCACACCCAGCAGCAGTGTATACATACCCATAGTCTTGGACTATTCAGTACTTGCTATCAAGAGGTTATCGTGCAGACAGCTTTTTTTAAAAAAACCTCAACATTGAAAAAAAATTATGCAGTACAAAACCACAATGAAGCCTAACTTTTTTTTTCAGACCACAATCAAGTAGTTTTAGGTTCAAAGTTTATTAACTTAAAATTAGCTCATAATTTGGTAGGAAATGCCCTGTGTGACTCTGGCTGTTTTATAAAAATCAACTGCAGCTGCCCTAAAAGTGAGCACCACCAGCTATATCTGACTTTTGTATAGGTTCTGGGCTGCAGAGCAAAATAATTTGTAACTGTGTATCAAAAATAAACTATATGTCAATCATTGATGAATACCCCAAAATAACAGTGGGGAAGAGGAACATTCAGCACATCAGTGGTTTCAAACTAATTTCCAGGTTCTAAAGTCACATGAGCAGCTCCCATAGCTTTGATGTATCAATATGCAGTGGGCTGGAACACTTCAGCATCTGCTGAAACCAGCCTACTAGAGAGGAGGGGTTTAGCTATTTTGGTTTCAGTTATAAAGGCCTGGTTGTGGGGAGTTTCTCCAGGGGGTATAAGAGTTTTGAGAAATATCATTGTGATGAGGTGCCCCTCCCCAGGGCAGAAGGGGTTGAAATGGCTAGGCAGGCCAATTAACTGCCCAGGCTGCACCTGAAGGAGACAGGGAGCAGGCCACTCATTGGAAATGGGCTCAGCTGGGCAGGAACAGGAGGGGCCTGTATAAAGCCCAAGAGCTGTGAGCAGCAAGGGGCTTGTAAGGCAGTAGTCTACTATCATTCCTGGGAGGAGGGCAGGTAAACCCAGAAAGAGCGGGAAACAGCAGCTACGGATGCGACTGTACAGACCTTGGCTTTTCTTATAGGGTTCCTGGGCTTGAACCCAATGTAGAGAGTAGGACAGGGTTTCCCTACCAGCCACTGTGAAGTCATTACTTGGAGATGACAGCTGGTCTGGAAGGATTTTAAATTGCCCAGAAGGGGAGGGCCTTAGTGACCTGGCTGAAGGACCAACCCATGAACAGAAAGCTGCAGCTTCAGGAGTAATAGGGGCTGCAGGATGAAAGAAACCAGGCAGAGACAGGGCCAGCACTTGGCAAGAGGTAATAACCAGGAGGAGATGCCACCAGCAGTGAGTACACTTTGTGATTATCACCTTATATCTTCAAGAAAGACACTTACCTTCCTCCACCTTGGCCCCTCTTCTAATGGAACACTGTGGGTATTGTGAATGGCATGATAAGTGGATTTGAAAGGGCTTTTGAAGTGGAGGAGTGGGGAAGAAGATAGGGTAAATTTAGAAGCATTAATGTGCTGAATGCTTCTCTTCCCTGCTATTAGGAGAATTCAGGGTGTAAGGGTGGGGTTTTTTTGTTTGTTTTTTTATGAAAGCCATAAGCTTGTCTCCTCTCAGCTATCCTGACTTATAAAAGGAGAAACTACTATGTTGGCTTTTATGCCTTAGGACAGTGGTTCAAAAACTCTTGTATTGATGACCTCTTTTACACAACAAGCTTCTGAGTGCAACCCCCCCCCCCCTTATAAATTAAAATGTGTTTTTAATTTATAAGCAGCTTGCTGTACAAAAAAGGACAAATGATATAATCAAGACAGAATAAAGGGAGAGTAATTGGGATTTACTACTAACACTTTTACTTAGAATTATCCAATAATGCCAACAAATATTTCTTTTGGAAAAAATTACAATTGTTAGTGCATGTGATGGGGTGTCTACCCCCACACAAGGCCTGAAGAGGTAAGACAGGCCAATTAACTTTATTAGGCTGCACCTGGAAGGAAGCCAGGGACTGATGATGACTAATAGCTGATGAAGCCCAGTTGGGGGAGGAGCTGGGCTAGGGTTCTAAAGAGGGGAAGCTGATAGTCAGAGATAGCTAGAAGGAGGAGCTCTGCAGTCACTGTCTAAAGAAGGGTGTTGGCAAGAGATAGAGGCAGTTTAGGGAGACATTTAAACCTAGGATCCTGCCATGGACTACAGAATCCGACCAGACTGCGGGGTGGGGTGAAGTAGCTGCAGAGCGAGGGGAAGTAAACTAGGAACGAGTCCAGGGAAATAGCAACAAGGTCAGAGCATGAGTAGACCGTGGCTGCTAGGCAGGGGATCCCTGGGCCTGAACCTGGAGCAGTGGTTATGCATGGGTTCTCCTGCTGGCCACTGGGAAAGTGGCACTTACTGGGCAGTGGATCAGAAGACTGAGACAGTTTGTCCAGTGCATCTTTGTTACCTTGGAAGGGAAGGAGAAGACTACAGTACCCTGGCCAGAGGGCCAAGTCCCCAAGGAGTAACCTGTTTCTACTGAGAGACACCATAGGGCGAGCAAACAAAAGGGGTATCAGACCGGGCAGAGCTAATCCCCAGACACTACCACAAGGAGGTGCTCAGTGATAAGTAAACCTCATGAAAGGGCATAAGCTTTGTCACTTGTTTACTTTTTCAATAGCTTAAAATACAAAGAGATTCAGCCATCAATCAATTAGAAGCCAAGCTTATAAGAGATGGGAGCCTCTGGTAGTATTAAGGATATTTAGTATTTGATCTATTCCAAATGCCATATTTAAATGCATTAACTTTTCCTATACCCACTACAAAGAGATTTAATAAAGCCCATTTAAATGCTGCTGCTTATTGCAATTTAGGAATAAGGAAGACACTTTGTGTTAAAGTGTTTCCTAAAGTGTACAGTGTGCATCCACCTGGGTGGAGTGATGAGGGACTGTTTGCAAGATGGGTATGCAGAAAGACCAACTGTCCTCTGGAGTCTTTTAAAAAACACACAAAACCTCACTGTTCTCACTTTCAAAACTAGAGTGTTTCTTAGTTAACTAATACAGAGATTAATCCGGGAGTCTGCACAGAGCCTGAAATAGTGGCTGCTAACACAGGTGCTACTTTAATTGTTCATATTAACTATTTCATTGCTCAAAGCAGACAGAAGATCTACACCATAATCATTAGCATTCCCCAAGTCAGGTGTGGAAGGAGCACAAAAGACTAGTGGAGATGTATGAATTAAGAAATGTGCCATCACATAGTAGGGTTCCTTAGTGATGGGACTGGCTTTCTTTTCCTGAAAGAGGGCTCAGCTTTCAAAAGTTTAGAAACACTGAATTATTGAAAAGTATAGTCCAGAGCATCTTACCTTTCTCATTCTTGCCCTGAATATAGTTAAAGAGCTTCATGAAGCCAGTGCTGACAGCTGAATCATAGTCCATTGATTTAACAGAAGTGGCAACCCATTTAGCTGGTTCATACTGCCGGACTTCATAATCTGAAGCCTATAAACAACCAGAAAAAACAAAACTATCAAGAATAGCGCTTCACATGGGCATCAGCGCATAAGTGATTAGGCATTCACAGAAACCCAACTTCATTTTTACAACATAGGCTTAGCACTGATATTTCTTTCCTTATCTAATTAACTTTTTTAAAGGGGGAGGAGTATGAACCAGCCTGACATTGCTGGAGAAAATGATTAGGTACTAGATAGTAGGAAGAGAGCCCAATTATTGCTCAAAGCTTGGAACAGTGTTGCAGGTCAAAACATGAAGTTTTTATATATTTTTTTTAAAGTCAGGAAATATATGCAAGTTTTTCTGTGTTGATTTATCCAAGTTGCACATTACTGTAAATGTGTGGACACAAAGGGAATAAAGCAGTGATTCTCAAACTGGGGTTGCCGCTTGTGTAGGGTAAGACCCTGGCGGGCTGGGCGGTTTAGTTTGCCTACCCCGTCCGCAGGTCTGGCCCATCGCGGCTCCCACGGGCCGCGGTTCGCTGCTCCGGGACAATGGGAGCTGCTGGAAGCGGCGCAGGCCGAGGGACGTACTGGCTGCCGCCGCCTCCAGCAGCTCCCATTGGCCTGCATTGGCGAGCCGTGATTGGCCAGACCTGCGGACGGGGCAGGTAAACAAACCAGCCCGGCCCACATGTATGGGATATGCATACATCCGAAGAAGTGGGCTGTAGTCCACGAAAGCTTATGCTCTAATAAATTTGTTAGTCTCTAAGGTGCCACAAGTACTCCTGTTCTTTTTGTGGAATCAAGCAGGGGTTCTCAAACTTTTGTACTGGTGACCCTTTTCACATAGCAAGCTTCTGTGTGAGACCTTCTCTTTTCTCTTCTTCCCCTCTCTCCCGCCCCATTAAAAACACTTTTTAAAATATATTTACACCATAAATGTTGGAGGCAAAGCAGGGTTTGGGGTGGAGGCTGATAGCTCACGCTCCCCCATGTAATACCCTCATGACCCCCAGTTTGAGAACCTCTGGAATAAAGCTTATTTACTATTATAACTAAAACCCAAGATTACCATAATTTTAATCTTTCTTTATTTTAGTTTGACAGCACTTTGTGAAGAAAAATAAAGAATAAATTCCCCTGGTGGTTTGTGTGGGGCTTTGACTCAGTCAAAGAAGAAAAATTATTTAAAAAAAAAATAGTACTGTAAAGTCACAACCTGAAACTTCTAACTTAAAGGAACACCACCATTTAAAAAAAAAAACAGTAATGTAGTCTAGTGTGCCATGTGAGTAAGTCAAAGAAACAGTATGAGGTTAATCGTTTTTGTTTTTGTTTTTTTTTGGGGGGGGGGGAGAATTCACTTACAGATACCATTAACATATTGGATCAGAAATTCCAAAAAAAAAAAAAATTGGTGACCCACATCTTACGATAGTACGTCTCATGGCTCACTTCCCCTCATAAATACCTGGACCAGCTCTGATCTGTGACAACTGCAATGATTACTTATATTCCAAAGTAACCTCTATTTGACATAAACCTTTCTGCTATTATTCAGCCAGTCCACTGTGACAGCCATAGTTTTCAGTGGACGACACATTAGTTTGACAGTCTCTGCCTTACACTATTAATGTGGTTTCAGAGTAGCAGCCGTGTTAGTCTGTATCCGCAAAAAGAACAGGAGTACTTGTGGCACCTTAGAGACTAACTTAGAGGTTCTCAGAGCTTGTACAGAAGAACAGTTAGTGCATGGCAGGTGGGGCTGTAAAACTACCTTGCACTAGCTTGCTATGTGCTAACTTTGTGCTAACTCACTGTCTGTGCGGACCCTGCTGCTGCACACCAAAAACATCCTAGTATGCTTTGATCTACACTGACCTACTCATGTTTCATAGCAATGTGCACTAGGGAACTTCTAATGCACAGCAAGAGGGTTCACATGGACACTTAGTGCATGGTATGCTACTGCAAAGTAGATTTACATGCCAGTCTGCTGTGCACTAACTGTTAATCTTCTAGACAAGTTTTCAGACATTACAATAATGGGAAACAATACAAGTACTTAGATGCTGTATATTTTTGTTGACCAAACTGCAACACAAAATATAAACTCCCCAATTTCATCTTTTCCAACTCTAGTTGGCAAAAGGTTGTCACAGTAGGATTGCAAATCCAGAGCAAAGGAAGTGTAAACCAACTATTTTATTTGCCTTTACAAGAATTCCATATAAGTAGGTCTACTGATTTTTAGGTTTAGGAAACCTCTGTTTACACAATTTTGATTATAACCCTAAATCAACCTGTGTACTTAATGTGGCTACAGAAACCTTAAGTTCTGCATTTATGTGCATTTTATTTTAAACGTACAAGATTGTTACCTTTAGATTAGTTTTCTGTATCTTATTTGATCCTAGGGGAAGAGCTAGCTAGTCCGGACACCATGGAGAGTATTGGTTTGCATGGCTCCACTTGCAGGTGGAAACAAACGCCTCAGAACTATAGCATTGCATAAAAAAATTGTTATGCAAGTCACCATGTCCTAGCTACTGTAAAAACCTACTTACTGCACTGTGGTATCTTGTACCTCTCTAGTGAGCAGGAAATAACTAAAATTCCTTTCCAAGTTGACTTCTGCATGCCCCCATTGCCCCCCACTTTCCACAATGATTCTCCCAAGCTGAAGATGAGCCATTCAGCCCATTATGATCTGCTTGTCGCATCTTTTATATAACACGGCCCACAGAACGTCAACTGTTCTAGCAACTTGAAGTCCTGCAGTTTGATTTTTATTGTTTTAATCAAACTTATTTCCCCTGCTCTCTGAAGCACTAGGGCTAAAGTGTTTCAACTCAAGCTCCCTGCCATGCCCCCTCGTTTGCTGAGACTTAAGCCCGACATTTTTTGACCAGAAAGGAAGGCAGATAAAATGAGTGAGCAAGGGGGTGTTCTAGCCCAGGCAGCAGGGACCCCTCTCTCCTTTTTGTACCTGGCTTGGTACCGCTGTCCACTTGGGCAGCTCCAGCCCGGAGGCGAGAGCTTGTTTGTTGGGCTTCAGCATCCTGGGGAAATTAAAGCAGAGCGAAGTTAGTAGGGCGTCCTCTAGCCCCTCTCCCCTGGAGCCCCACCCGCAGTGGGGCACTCAGCCCCCTGTGCACCTCACCCACCCAGCCGCGGTGGGAGGGCTGGGGTTAGCCCAGCATCTCTTCTCTTCCCCCACCATCCCGGGGGCCGGGCCGGGCCAGCACCGTCTCTCTTCCTCACCTGCCTCAGCAGCTTCCACCCAAATGCGCCGCCCTGTCCTTCCCCAGCGGGCTCCCCTAGGGAAGCACAAACCTCCGTGTGTCGGAGCCTGCCAGCTGCCTGTGGGCGGGCCAGGCGGCGAGTTTCATAACCCCTGGAGGCTGGGCACAGCGGGAATCGGCCCTTGCCCCAGCATGCTGCCCCAGCCCCCTCCCCCTGCTACGGGAAGACGGCGCAATTCGCCCGCCCACCCCTGCTGTGCAAGCGGCTAGAAGCCCCGGGACCGGCTCTGAACGGCACTTGTATCAGCACAAAGTGCTCTCGCTCCCGTTTTGCTACTTTGGGTGTACTGAGCATGCCCACTCGAACTGAGCATGCCCAGTAACCTTCGTAGTAGCCACTGCCCTCTCTCTGCCCTTACTTCTGCTAATGATTTGCTGCCTCCTCTTTGGGGGGGTTTAAAAGGATTAAGGGGGGCAAATCGCAGCGGGGGGCTGTCAAGGTCTGAGCAGGGGGCAGAATTTTACTCGCCTGGGGGGGTTCAAGCTACTGTAGCTAGCGGCAGAAGAGGGGCTGAAGGGCAAAAATCGGTGGTGGGGGGTGAGAGTCGGGGTTAAGCGGGGGGGGGGGAGACACTGCCAGACCCCGTGCGGGTACAAAACCCCCGTTTAGGGACGGGGGAGGGGGGCGGAACAGTGACCCCGTAGGATGAGCCACCC